ACACTAGTGTCCTTATTCCTTATTAATTCTCTGATATTTATATATATGCTAAGTGTTTCTATCATTTTGCCAACTTCCAGTATTGTAACAGACCTTTAACAGTAATAAAACAGAAATTTAAGATAACCAATAAGCTTAATTAGGCTACATCTAAATACTACTCCTGTGCCAGATGACAATGTATATTACAATTCACTTGCACTTAGATTTGGAGAATAATTCTTCCTACTGATGGTAATACACTATAATGACAAAAGTAATGGGACACACCTCTTAATCATTGAATTCAGGTGTTTCATTCAGACCCATTGTCATAGGTGTATAAAATCAAGCACTTAATCATGCAATCAGGTTTACAAACATTTGTGAAAGAATGCTTATTCTGAAGAGCTCAGTGAATTCAGGTCTGGTACCATAAGATACCACTTTTGCAATAAATCACTTTGTGAAATTTCTTTCCTGCTAGATATTCCATGGTAAGCTGGTCCAACTGTAAGTAGTATTATTGCAAAGTGGAAGCATTTAGGAACAACAGAAACTCAGCCATGAAGCTGCAGACTATGTAAAGTAGCAGAGCGGGTCACCGAGTGCTGAGGTGCATAGTGAGTAAAAGTCGCCAACACTCCGTTGACTCAATAACTGTAGAGTTCCAAGCTTCCTCTGGCATTAACTCCAGCACAAAACTGTGCACCAGGAGCCTCATGGAATGGGCTTCCATGAACATGCAAGCCTCATATCACCAAGCGCAATGCAAAGCGTCGGATGGAGTGGTGTAAAGCACACCGCCACTGGACTCTGGAGCACTGTAAACGTGTTCTGTGGAGTGACAAATCACGCTTCTTTGCAAGTTTGATGGATGAATCTGGGTTTGGCGGATGCCAGGAGAACGTTACCTGTCTGACTGCATTGTGCAGACTGTAAAGTTTGGTGGAAGAGGGATAATTGTATGGGGTTGTTTTTCAGGGGTTAGGGTAGGCCCCTTAGTTCCAGTGAAGGGAACTCTTAATGCTTCAGCATACCAAGACATTCTATGCTTCCAACTTTGTAGGAACAGTTTGGGGGAAGCCCTTTTCTGTTCCAGCATGACTGTGCCCTAGTGCAGAAGCAAGGTCCATAAAGACATGGTTGGGTGAGTTTGATGTGGAAGATCTTGACTGGCTCGCACCTGATCTCAACCCCAACCAACTCCTTTTGGATGAACTAGAATGGACATTGTGATCCAGGCCTTCACATCCAACATCAGTACCTGACCTCAGAAATGCTCTTCTGGATGAATGACAGAAATTCCCACATACACACTCCTAAATGTTATGGAAAGCCTTCCCAGAAGACTGGCAGCTGTTATAGTTATGAAGGGGGAACCAACTCCATATTGATGCCTATAGATTTAGAATGGGGTGTCATAGAGGTTCCTGTAGCTGTAATGACCAAGTGTCCCAGTACTTTTGTCTGTATAGTGTATATTGTAAATACTGAGGAAACCCAACTATTCCTCCATGTTTTATGATTTAGTCCTTCAAGATGGTGCACTGTTATGCCCTCTGGTGGCCGTCTGTACTAACTGTTGGAGTTTCTGCTTGGTCCTTCCCACATTATGCTTAAACACCCATCCATCCATCCATCCATTTTCTATACCAATCGCTGTCGTAACTAATATATTTTAAATCATCTGGCATCTTGCCTATTAGCCAAATCAATCCACGGGATCATTTTCAGAACAACCCTTTTAATGAATACTATTAGCTCTAGTCATCATGATCACTAGCAGTCAGTTTAGAGGCCTTGATACCAAGTTAAAAGCACCACTAAATTAATGACCGTGTTGGTTTCAGAAACCCGACGATAAATTCAGACTTGTGTATCAAATTTGTGATTTTTTTTGTATATAAAATTGTGTGTTGTATAGTCATTCTGCTACAGAAAAAAAACAATTGTAGAAATCATTGGAGGGCAAAAACTGCCATGACAAAAATGTTTGTTATAAGTAAACTTTTACTTTTAAACTTCTGACCATGTTGAGCTTCAGCCCGTGGCTCTTCTGGTTAGCAGTGGTGGTCCAACCTTTCAAGTTCTTCCACCTTTCTCTGCTGCCAAACTAGCAAACTAGCTTGATTAGATTAGAATGCGCTTTTTTTCAGTGGCAGTGCTTACGTTGCATTTGAACTAGAACGTTCCATGAGTCATGACCCAACACATACAGCTGAAAGCACTCAAGGATGGCTGAGAAAAAAAACTTGGATTATTCTCAAATGCCCCCCCCCCCCCCCATGAGCCTAGATCTTAATCCTATTGAACATCTATGGAAAGATCTGAAAATTGCAGTGTGGAGATGCTACCCTTCAAACCTGAGACAGCTTGTACAGTTTGTTCAGGAAGAGTGGGCCAGACTACCTGGTGGCAAATGCAGACGTCTCACTGTGAAGCACAGCGATTGCTTGTTGGCAGTGATTGCGGCAAAAGGTGGTAGCACAAAATATTAAATTAAAGGTACCATCTTTTTTGTCCCTGCCATTTGTTTAATTATAAAAAATATTCAACTGAATCAATAATCAAAAGCAAAGTCTGATTTGTGTTATGGAATAAACAATAGGGGATGTCATTAAACAAAGTTATTTCAGAGATATTTTTTGTTTTTTTGTGGAAGGGTACCAACAAATTTGTCCACTTCTGTAGGTTTAAATAGGCAATCATTTGGGGCTATGGAATGGATTAAATTAATTTACATTACAGTATTTCTTATGGGGAAATTCGACTTGGACCTCGACCAAGTCGCAACTCTACCAGCCTTCTGGAAACAATTAAGTTTGTGTTCTAAGGTACCACTGTACAATGTATCCAAACTCAATAAGAGAATGAAGATATTGTTACCTTATCAATGAAAGAGCTTATGATAATTACATAAGCAAAAAAACTGTACTTATCAATAAGCTACTGAACAGTTACTGAAGGACACAGGGTATAATAGCAATGTGTTATCAGAAGAGAAGAACAATTGCCACAACAATTTTTGTTATGAAACCAATACATTTGCAACATTTTTACAGAATTGAGCATCTGTCTCAAGACTTCCTGTGCGCACTGAATATATTTCACACAGAGAGGTTCAAGACATCCACTTACTGTCTGGCTAAATATTAGCAGATGCGTAATCTGAGTTATTTTAAACATGGTATAATTGTTGATATCGGTCATGGTGGGTAAACTATTTCAGAAACAGCCTGTATGTCTACCATAATTTTGCAGATAATAGTATAATTAATAAAAACACATACAGTCAGTGGAAGTTTTGTGGCTGAAAACATGAGAGAAGAATGTGGCCAGACTTGTTAACGGTAACAGAACGGCCACAAGTGTAAAAATAACAGCTTAGTGCCACAGTGGTGTGCAGAAAGGAATCTCTGAATGTGCAACTCGTCAAACTTAAAGTGCTCCTGGAGACCAACTATAATACATATATGAGTCACAGAGTCAGAAATGAGAAATGCAAAATATATATCTGCCTGGGATTAAACCTGACATCATGAGTATAGTAATCACTGCCTGCCAGTATTAGTTTACTATTCCAGCTAACTCTGGATGCTGTGAAAATATTGTCCAGTAGGCTACTTTGTTTCTGAAATTTTAACAATACAAATGCATGTAGATATAAAGCTAAACGTCTCAAAATCATATTTCTGACAGAACAATTTAAACTGAATGAAGCTTTTCTATTATGCATAAAATGTCTCAGTTCTTAGTAGTTTAATGGTGATCATAAATAGGTTAGACAGAGAAGTTTTACAGTATAATGTTAAAATGTCCACCAATAGCACACATTACTCATCAATCCCATGTTAACAGCACACAGTGTCCCTCCAACTTCTCATTGCATCATTGTATTGAACATTTTTGATATCAGTCGCAATTTATTCAGGGATACCAAAGTACGTACCACCAGTAAGTGTAGACTGAAACTAAAAAAGAGAAAGCTTGATTTTATTCAACATTGACAGTTTTATGTTTATATTAAATTTAAAGCAATAAAATAAAATACATACTCAGTTTGTATTTTGGCTGTTTTTAAAAATTTCTGTTTGCTTGTTAAACTATGTATCTATGAATTGTGACATCTGGATGTGAACAATCCAGAGTCAATTTTAACTGTTTATTACCACCTAACTCACTGCCTTGCCTAGTTGGCTGTGTAAGTTTTCCAAAATCAGTGTCTATAAGGAGAGACGGGATTGATCCTTTAATATACTGTATTTTTGTTAAATATTGAGTGTTCAGGCTGAAAGGAAAGAGTTATTCTTATCAGTGCTCTGTGACATTTTGTTTAATGTAATACACCTGTAAACAATAGATACCTTGGCAAATGGAACCCAACCAATTAGCATTAAGCAAGCCTGTTACTTGCCCCTGTCTATGTAGTGAATTTAAATATTTTCTAATTAAAGATACAATGTCGCATAAGAAGCACATCCAGACGGGAGAACAGAGTACCTGATTGTCTTTTCTTGTAATGAGAACTTTGACCCCTTGCGGACATTTTTTTCAGACTAGTTTCAAATTCGCCAGGCAGGTGCAACTTTGTCACCTCTGCTATAGGACTGAAGCCGTGGAGAACAGGAGTTTGAGACATGGGATTTTGGTCTGAGGCCAGGGGGAGTGAGGATCAAACATTATCGCGCTGGGCCAGACCGTGTGGGGTTGGGCGGACGCTGAGACCTATGGATGGAAACGGCACAAACAAATCTGGCACAGACCGGCTGGACATACAAACAAATCACAATAACCGAAAGACTCTGCAGAGAATCAAGATATTTAAAGGTTGGTAACCTTAATGTGATAAATTTAATGTTATGTCTTACACTGTTACATTACAGTATTACAGTGTGCCTATTACATCAACACATTGCCTGTAGTCTGTGCTCTGCTGTGAAAAATACCTGTCATGTCTTCAAATGTCAAGAGACACAAAGACAGCGATAAAATAACTGACGTTGGATTGATGCTGATTTTTTACAGAAAGACAGAAATAAGGGACGTGGGGACACAGACCACTTGAAAATATTGTCAGGTATTAAATATTTTTAATTTCATCAATACCCTTTTAATATACACATAGCAGGTAATAATAATAATAATAAAAACTAAAGGGATCCTGCAACTAACTCTGCTTGGAGCCCTAAAACAATAGCAGTAACACATAAGGTATAATGCATATGCTACGTAATGCATGTCATATAAGTTACCACCTCATGTAAGGACTAGATGTGTCGAAGTGTGCAGTTTTGTGATATATATTACTGTGCAAAATCTTTAGTCGAAGAAAGTGATGTTTAAATGATCTTCATGTTGGCGTAAAAGTATGATATTGTGCATGTCAAAGTGTGACAGCTTTCATATTTCAGAATCTCTTGTAAAATCATCCCAATATTTACATCAACCATCTAATACACCAATGCATTTTTTGACTTGAGCACTTCCCCACCATATTTGGCAAATCAGTACCTCATTGAGTTATATAACAAATTAAGTAAATTAGTGAATTGAGCTGGTGGTGAAATTTAATGAATATATAGAATGAATATATAGAACCAGCCACCCATATCAGTAACTTCCTAGAGAAAAGAAGATTTCTTGTTTGTTTTGTGTTACTCTTAATTTGCATATGTTCTAATGTTAAATTGTTTTTGTTCCAGAGTAAATATACGTTTACTACCCAGACAAATATTCTTAAACCACTGACTGCGTAAGACTTTTGCACAAGACTTTGGCTTATAAAAAATGTGATAATCATGGGCATTAGTCCTAAATAGCCATGAACTTCCAAGCTTCCGTCTTATCTTCAAACACCAAGTAACCAGTCATTCTTTTCTCAGGAAGTTATTTCTCTTCCCACAAAATTAATGGATATGAAGAAGGTCAGTGCATCTTCTTTACCTGAAGAATGTTTGGCAATGAGAATATCTGACATTCATTATTAGTACTTGTAGAGAAATATGAGGAATTAACTGTCATGTGATAAATGTTTTGGTCTCTCCTGGTTTGGGCCCAGAGCCCCATGACCCGAGTTCTCCTGATGTCCATTGGAGCAGCAGTATTAGGTTCTCTCCAGATTGGATACCACACCGGTAATGTCAATGCCCCAGCCAAGGTAAGGATACCCAGCATTTCTGCTGTATGTATTCCTCATCAATACAGGCAGTTCTCGACTGGTGTAAGTACAGTCAATCTGAGTGCATTGCGATTATCCCCATGGTGGTTTGATATCTCGTGGGTTTGGCATAAAGTGGGAATTTTTCAGGAGTTTTGCAAAAGCCACAGACGACACGTGAAGGCCAGCAGAGGGGGACACAAAAGCTTTTGTAACATAAATTTATACAATTTATGTACAATGCTGGTTTGGAGGACCGCAGGCGTGATTACGGCAGCCTCTCGCGTGATTATCTCGCAGTGATTTTTGTATCCTGCATTTCTTGTATCCTTTCATTTTGCTTTGCTCTGCTTGCCAAAGGGGGCCGAAAAAATTACACGATTTTTACAAGATCGCGGGGGGCCTGCATGTCTGACGCCTGTGATGTGGAAGGGTCGACTGTAATCCATTCCATAAACCCTTATGTAAGTCAGGTTTTACGCCAGTTAGATTTTACGTAAATCGGATTTAAGTTCCCATGTCATTCAAGACACCCTAAAAAACATACCTGTAAACTAGAAATATACTAGTAATGCTTACTAAAGAACACATATAAAATAAGTGTAAATTTACGTGTCTGATATTTTTTGCACAAGTCCGAATTTACTTACATGTGTTTTATGTAAGTCGAGAGCTGCCTGTATTTAAATTATAAAAAGTATCAAATACATAATTGTTGTAAAACATCCCATAATAATATAGTTATTGTTAGTGAAATTGATTTAATATGTGGGTGAATCCTTATTCTATGTTTGACAGTCTAACACATAAATGAAATGTAAATGGAGGTTTGTGCATAGTGTCAGTGTTTGTGGAAACTCAGGTGTCAAATCAAATTACAGAATTTTACCAAAAATCTACTGGTTCCAAATCAATTTTCACGAGTTGCCGTTCTCTACTGATCCTATTTCATTTTAATAATTAAAAACCTCTATAATCTATTATGCATATTTAATAATTAGACTTAAAATAAATCTAAGAAAGCACTAATTAAAAAAAATGTTTGTGTGGTAAATTTCTAAATTGAGTCACTAAAAACATTATATACAGTGAATGGAACACTAATTAATGCACATGCATTGCTTATCTTGGTTGGTAAGTGTAAATTTAGGTAATATATAGTCTGACTTGCATGCAGGGTTACATACTAGAGTACTACAGTTCATTGAATGGCTATATTTACCCAGAAGCTCAATTAATATATAAAAAGACAATACAAGTGGCATACAATGGAAAACATAGCTAAGCATTTCTTTTTTCATTGAAGATAATTCAGGAATTTTTCAATGTGACCTGGACGTCTCGCCATAAGAAGTTTCTGCAAGACGGCAGCCTGACGATGCTCTGGTCGCTTGCGGTCAGCATTAAGGATTTGGGAGCTTTGCTGGGCTCACTGGGAGTTAAAGGGTTGGCAGATACCTTTGGCAGGTGAGGGCCAGAGCAAGTCTCCACATTGGTTGACGATTTAGCAACATTCAGCCTTTCCATTTGCATAAATATATTATGATAAATAACTTTTAACTAGATTTCTCTAAATCTCACCTTTCAGACAGAACCATTTTGTATTTAAGACTGATTTGAATACAAATACCTAATGGCACCTTACCTAAATGATGACACACTGTGAATGCTGAGCAGTAAAGTCCATCTGAGTGGCTAGAATCCCTGTCTGTTCCCCATCTGACTAATCCAGGCGTGACTCCATCCTGATAGCCAATTCGCTGTCTGTGCTGGGTGCCTGCCTCATGATCATATCCAGGGCCACTGAATCCTTGGAGGCGCTCATCGCAGGCCGCTTAGTTTTCGGCCTGTTCTGCGGCCTGGCTATGAGCCTCAACCCCCTCTACATTCAGGAGGTGTCCCCCACCGAACTGCGTGGGGCCTTTGCAACACTCAACCAGGTTTCCTTTGCCTCTGGCATTTTTCTGGGAATGGTGAGATTATTCAAGTTAATTGCAGACTGTCAATCTCATTTTGGCAAGAAAATACCTGAGTGCCTGACTAAGCTCTTTACATCACATATTGTAGGTGGTGGGCTTGGATACAGTGCTGGGCACAGAAAAGTACTGGGCCTTGATGTTTTCACTGTCCCTCATCCCTGCACTCCTGCAGTTTCTAACCCTACCTTTCTGTCCTGAAAGCCCTCGCTACCTCCTTATTAACTGTGGAAAGGAGGAACAAGCGGAGGCAGGTGAGTTAGAACTACTGGGACCATACTTGGTGAAATAATCTTGCCTGGTGCCTAAACACCTATGAGTGTTACACTTGTGAAAAATCCTGAATATGGAACTGTGCCTGGTATTCATTGTAACCTATGAAGGAAACAATGAAAAAAGAAAAATCTCCGTGAATGGCTGACAGTGACCTTTGACCTTTATTTCAGCCCTTTGCCGACTGAGAAGAAGTACATACAAAGTACAGAATGAATTAATGGAAATGAAAGAGGAGGCCTCTCACGCCCAGTCAAGAGTCACAATAGGAGAGTTCTTCATTAAGCATAGTTACAAACAGCCGATCTTCATTGTTCTGATTGTCAATCTGGGCAGCCAGCTTTCCGGGTTCAATGCGGTCAGTGATGAAACCAAAATGGTGCAGAATATATAAAGCTATATGAAGCTTATCAGCTCGCTATAGTCATGCCTCTTTCCTGCCTTATTTATTTTAACATTCTTCATTTCTGCATAATTTTATATTATATTTTTACTGTTTATATGCTGTATATGTTTGTTTATGTTTCTGTACTTATAAGTAAAAAGAAGAAGTATTTAATGCTGTTTGACACCGATGCAGTGGTATATATGATACCGTAAGAGTTTTAGCATTTTATCATTTTTATTTACATATCTAGAGCAAATTCTTGTAAAACATTATGAGAAAAGCATTCAGGTAATGGTCCTGATTTCCTAGCATGACACAGTATTGACAACTTCTCTTAAAATCTGATACTAGTAATTAAATGGGACTAAGCTCAGAGGAAACAGCTTCTGTCATTTTTACAACAGCTTCATTAACTTTTTTTTTTTTTTTTATCTGTTTCAGATCATAAATTACTCCACCAAGATCTTCTCCAGGTCTGGCTTTGAAAACCCCAAATACCTGACACTGGGGGTGGGGGCTGTCAATGTTACTTTCACTGTCGTTGCGGTGAGTTTATTTTTAAGACTATTTGAGCAATTGTGACGTTTCTTCACTGTACAGAACTTCTGAGCGACTGGTGGAGTCAATTCCATTGTAAGGCCATTGTCATTATGGGTTTGCAAAGCAGGAGACTAATTACCATTCATTTTCTCAAGTTCTTTCTAGTGGAGAGGGCGGGTCGCAGGAAACTTCTACTAATCGGTTTCCTGTCTTTAGCAATATGTAACCTTTTGATGACCATCACAGATACATTACTGGTAAGAACAAATGAACAATCAATTATTATAAGTCTGGGATTCAAAACAACCTTGGAATGCGATTCATCAATTTCAATGATGGCACAACATTAATTCATTTAAAAAAAAAATTTACATTGTGATCCTGTACTGATTGGAAGATTGGTAAATGGATGGAGAAATTTTAAGCCGTAGCATCATACATATTCCAAATTACTCTTAGTGTATGTAGCCTGCATTTCATTTGCCTGTTTTTACTTAATTTTCTCACTATTTACCCATTCAGCACACTGCCCCAGCTCTTTGCAGTCTGCAAGTCCTTCTGGTATTTATCCTGATCTCGGCCTATGAGGTTGGGCCTGGTCCTATCTCTTGGTTTATTGGTGCCGAGCTGTTTGACCAGCCAGCCAGACCTATCGCCATGGCGTTCACCAGCATGCTCAATTTTGGTGGCAAGTTCCTGCTGGCTCTGCTTTTCCCACCATTGCTGGTACGACCCCCTTGTTCTGCTCATTACTGCGTACACTTACTTATTCATACAAAAGTAAAAGTTCTCTTATATTTCCTTGTGCAGAAAGTATGCGGTGCTTATGTCTACCTCCTCTTCGTGACTGTGGCCCTCCTGGCTCTGAGCTACACGTTTCTGCGGCTCCCCGAGACAAAAGGGCGGACATTTGATGAAATCGCTGCCGAGTTTCGAGGGACCGAATGCATTCCGTTACACAATCAGTCAGGATTCAACACATTTACCTGATCTGCCAAATCTGGCTTCACTTCGTGACGTGAGTTTTACCATGTGACTTACTGACAGCTGTAGCACAAGATCTTTGTTGACATTATATTATATGTATGTTGAGTCTTAAACTTCTAAAGATCATTGTCTGTCTTTACAACTGTATTCATTTACAAAAACAACACAAATAAATACGACTACCTATACTTCTATAGAATTGAATAAAATCTGTAGAATTGTCATATGACCATAATAAATGTAAGGCAAACATGAATATTGTGGCTACAAGAACTACCAAAAAAAATGACTGAAATGCTGAAGATGAAATTCTCTCAGTTTAACACCAGAGGGCAGTGTTACATATATCGCAGAAGATGAAATGGTTTTTCTGTGGTCTGAGCTGTCTTATATCTACAAAATATATAAATAGTCATATGTAGTCAACATATGCTTTTATTTTATATTCTTTTTATGTTGTAATTTTCATTCCTTTCTTGCAGTATGAATAGCATTGACATTTGTTTGTTCATTGCAGTATGAATAGCATTGCAGTGTGAATAGCATTGCAGTATGAATAACACTGACATTTTCATTGTTCAGTAGTTACAAATGTACAAATAATACATTGAACTTTTTAGTCTAGTCTGGTTTTAGAACAAAAAGAAATTTTTAACAAGGTACTTAAAAGCATCACACAGTGAACAAACAATTAATATTGAACCATATTAGAGGTATGGTTTTTATGTTGTTGAATCTATCTTTAACAAGCAAATAATTTGTTACGAGAAGACAAATCTTCGGTAAAGGGTAAAATCAGCTTTTTTTTTTTTAATTTTTTTTTTAAAGTAAGAACCCACTCTTTATTTTGGAAAAATAAAGAAAATTGAGTAACAGCCACAGAACTTTACTACACAATTAAGTAGACCTGTAAAATTTTTTTCCAAAGTCCAAGTCTGATAATGAAAACCTTTTGTATCTGTCAGATGTTATTCTTGATGAGGCATCTGACTGTGTCACGAAAACGTGTGGGTTGGATGCTCAAGCATGCCGTTTGTGAAGGAGTAAAGTCTCATTATCGCCGTTTGTGAAGGAGTAAAGTCTCATTATCGCCGTTTGTGAAGGAGTAAAGTCTCATTATCGTCAGTGGTTTGGCTTGCAGTACTCCTCTATTTAAGCATATCAGTACCAACAGTGCAGCCATGGTTCAACATGCAGTACACCACTTGGCATATGTTGATTTGGAAATTCCTGACATGTAAACAGTACTGGTCCAGGGTTGGTTGGGGTTAGGGCTGCCATTGCTGGGATGAGGGTGTTGCCCATAGAAACAAATAGATGGTCCTCACAAAGATATAAGTACAGGTTGGTGTGTTTGTGTGTGTGCGTGTGTGTGAAAAAGTGTAAAAGTGTGTGAAAAAGTGTAAAAGGATGAGAATCCTCTGTGCACAATTCAAGCCAATCAACAGATTTATCCCAGAAAAGGGTCACATCATATGACATAACTGCATTACTCAGTACATATCTCTCTCATGCCTTCTTCCTACAGCCAACGCACTAACAGCAACACATTTGGCTCAGTTATCCTCTTTCTTGGCATAATGAGTCAACACATTCCATAAGGATCCTGTATTTTTCATTAGTTCTGAACACCATTTCCTACTCATTCATTCATTCATTCATTCATTCAAACTCTAATGTGTGTGAGTTTCAGAAAAAAAACAAAAACATCCTTATAAACTCTGAACAGCATGTAGTGGGTCAATTGCCCGGTATCCTTACTGAGGAAGAAATGCAGTGATTCTGAACTTCGTAATGAATCTGCACCTGCTGTAGTGTATGTAGCAGGCTGGTAAATACTGGTTTCAATGTTGTTGCCTTTCCACTTGCATGCAGTTGTTTGCAGAATATTGTTATCATGTGTGTAATTGGTGTATTTCCTTGGCTTATCAGAAATATTCGGGTCCAGGTATAAATTTCTACCCTTACACTAGGGTGACCACCTAATCCATGTCAGGAGGGACACTATGAGCTACTTCAGCTTTTACGAACTACTTTAAAGCTGAAAGGATTCTGTGCTCTGCTAAAATGTTTGGTTAGTTCCTAGATT